AACAAAATAAAACAAAATCCTATATAATATATTAGTTCGTGTAAAAATAAAAAAAAAATATCTGTACTGGGAATTGAATAAAATAAAACAAAATTTTGTATAATATTTTAGTTTATATAAGAATAAAATAAAAAAAATACTGGGAATTAAATAAAATAAAACTCCTATTTAATAATTTAGTTTATATGAGAATAAAAAAAAATGCTAGAAATTGAATAGAATCACCAAGTGTTTGATTTTGCATTTAATGGTGACAACATCTATAATAGATTTTTTTTCTGAATGAAATTTATTTCCATGGAGTTATCAATGAACTTAACATTCTTAAAAAGTCCTGAAAGAACTGAATCAACTGGTATTTTTAAATCAGCATTTTGTAGTTAAAGTCACTTGTTAGTATTTAAATATTTAAAGAAAAATCCATAAATCATCAAAATTTGCAACTTCGGGATCTAAATTGAAATCTGTATCATTCAAATTAAAGGCAGAAAAAATTCAGCAAGATTTCTATAATCCTTATCATAATTTAAATTCTCTTCGTCATTAACAACATTATTATTATCAGCTGATTGTCATTTTCCATTATTATCATTTAATAAACAAAATGATAAAATCAGTTCCTCATTCTGATTATTTCTTAATATCTTTTTTTATCATTATTAGGTGAACTTGTTAAGCTAGACATACTAGAGAATAATGAAAATCAATTGGAACTTTATGCTTTTTACTAGCAGGTTAGATTGCGAGTTCAAGTTAATGCTTTTTTCTCATTCTTGGATTAACTTTTTTATCAAAGTAGATAGTGAAAGGAAATTATTTTCGCAGGTAATTAATAAACGTTGAAATTACGCAATGATTATGACTTGTATTATTTCTGTTGTTTATTACAATAATTACAAACGGGCGTTTGAAGATTTTGAGAATCTTCCAAATTTACATGTTAATTTATCATTTAGTGCAACAGCAAGAAATATGCAACATTGTTAAATACAGGTGTAGGGACAAAAGAAATAGTGCACTGCATATTCAAAAATATTGTGCCATGAACGAATTGAAAGAATATTGAACTTGACTTATTAAAACGATATACAACATTGTTTACAGTACGCCATCTATTTGACGGAGGTATTGACAAACGTTTTTCTTCTACAAATAATGCTTTAATGAACCTTCCCTATCACTTAAAACGGTTGATTGTCGAAAAACCCTTTGATCCCGAAGAAGATATAAGCGATGGTTTGATCAAAGTTTCTTTATTGAATTATATGAATTTTTTAATTAATAATCTTATATTAGATATTTATTATTTCTTCACTAGATGAATATATCTCGAATATAATCTTAAAGAAGGTATACCAAAAAAACATGCCGAAGAAAATGTGCCAAACGATTCTGGCTTTTGTAGAGAATTGGCATCAGTATACCAAAAAATGGGCTATGAAGTGGCATTTTTTGAAAGTTCATGTCGATACTATGAACTTATTTGTTTTTCAGTAGAAGATAATGGAATTACTGTAATACACAATATCGTCTGCATGTCAGTGATGTTGTTACCACCATTTCCGAAGAAGAGGGTAAAACTTTTGCGCTTCTGCGATCAATTTTTAGCCATGAAAGGAATAATCGACGTTTTGCCTTTATTGGCCACAAAACCAGTTGCGGCGAACACCCTGTTTGGGGTTTTGGACACAAAGTTTTGGACAAACTTCCCGGAATTGCTCACAGTGTCGGCTATCTCTTCCTTTCTCCTTTTTTTTTTTACTAAATAATAAATTTTGTTCTTTCAAAAACTGATATAAAAATTTTTTCATTCGCTCCTAATCTACCTTTAAAAGTATGAGTTGTATGGCGTCCCTAGAATAAAATAAGAAATGAAGTCTAGAGATTGGAACTGATTGATTAATTAACCGGTTAAGATGGTTAACTAGTTAAGGTATTGTAGAGGACGACTTTATCTAGTGACATTATTTAATTTGGGGCGCAATATTATATTTAATTTTTAGGATTTAGTATTTCATCGATAAGTCCGAAATTACCAATCAAAAGAAGTTAGAATGTCCAGTTTATGGGCTTCGGGATACGCGTCCTATAAGAGAACTTGATACAAATAACACAGCGCATTTTATTCATCATTGTAACGATGATGAATGCATCAGCGGTAGGTTGTCACGATTTTGGGAATGATTTATATATAAAAAACATGTATTTCTTCAAGGCTATATATAATATATTATCACTTCGCTACGAAGTATTATATATTACATGAACAAGTAGCAACAAATCATTTATTAATTCTTTGCAAAGTATTTACTAAATTTTCGTAATAATACTATTAATTTTTGCGATATACAGTATTTACTACATATTTACAAAGTATTTACTAAATTATATTAATAAATTTATTAATTCTTTACGACATATTTACTACATGTTTAATGATACATTTATTAATTCTTTGCGACATATTTTCTATATTCTCACTAAACTTTAAACCGTATTTATGAACTATCTACTATACATTTAAAAATTTTAAACTAATTCGTAACAACTTGTACAATAGATTCTTTATAAACAGTGTCGAAGTCGTGATCGTCTTAATGCGCAGTAACTGCATGTAGACTAATACTGACTACATTTAACTAGTATAGGTTCGTAATTATCATATAGCTCTAATGCATTATTATTGCTGATATATAACCACTATATTATTTAGTCACGATTTGGTCACAATGTATACACGATTTAAAACATTCCTGTAAAGTATTTGAATTCTTGATCGGTAAATTTATTTCATTGTGTATTATGGTAATATGGTAAGACTCTAACAATTTGTACAATGAATTATTACTTTATTGTTATTTTACTTTATTATCGATTTTGTAGTTAGCTTCCAATTTAGCCGGATTCAAAATATAAAGCTAAAAAAACCAGTATCGGCTCACAATATAATGATTAAAACTAACATCAAATATTTCAATCCGACTTGGCTCTTCTATAATAGTTTTGGATTCCATGCATCACTAATTAACAAATCGTGTAAATTTTACGAATACACATCCTACATGAAATGAAGGCTATTTCAAAGTAAATGTCATCTACATAAGAATGATATAGTATCAATTCAAAACGATCATGATAACAGCTATGCGATCATCAAAGCCATTTTCAAGCACAAAGGTAATTATGATCATTACTATCCGTTTATTTATATTGACTGGTTTGCGAAATTAGATTGTCCCCTATTTATTCTCTGGCACAATGATAATCCTCGACGCAAAATCTTTCCTTTAACGGTAGTTGATGAAATCTGAAAGGAATATTTTATCCACGATTTGGATAATAATCGTTATTTAAAAAATGACTTCTTTTTTAAAGCCATTTAGATGAGGGACAAAAGTAGCAATTGTTGAGCAGAAACAGACAACGTTTGATTCGATTTCAATGACAAGCTTGATAAATTGAGATTTATTGAAGAGATTTCAAGTTCAGTGTATATGTAAAAGATTATGAATAATGCCTAGTATTTCCGATGCTAAAGAAATTTACTAATACTAAGATCCCAACCCAGAATGATTAGTTATGATTCTGCGGCTTAATTATAGATCACGTGCCTGTATTGTTATTGGATGTCTACACATTGTGTAACCTTGGAACAACGAGATCGTGCCCCTCGGATCACAGTCAAGCTATAAGTCTGGTTTCTTAGTTAAATATACGGACTAGACTAATGAATATAACAAACACCTCTAGTGAGATACGAAAAATTAATTCCCACGTCATCCAATATTTTAGCGTTTAACAGTGACTGCAACAACTTTCGAGAAAAATAAGACTACACCAATAGTAATGATAAACCCACACCAGTATATACGCTGGACTCATTACCGGAATTATGAAACAATCGTCACTGCGCTTTAGCGCCTTTTGGGAAATACCTGGAGGATAATGATTTGCCAAGAAATTTTGCCAAGAGATTTCCCTGTATAATTTTTTTCGCTTTGCTCAGTCGGAGACTGCTCGAAGAGCAAAAATCATACAGATTTTAATAATTATGTGTTACAATGATCTACGTTATTGTCTTGTAAATCTATGGAAACATTATTCTCTAAGAACGCGGTTCTTAGTCTCTCCAGTTCTATGAGCGTCTTGCCGCTCAACCACGCTCTGTGTTTCATTTTTTACTATTCACTTACATTATCAATTACGTAGATTAATAATAGACAAATGTATACAAAAAAATCTTTAGTCCATTAGGACCTTCAAAGAAGTGAATTTTCGAGGAACGAGGAAAATTATAAAGGGAATCTAGGGAAATTACAGAACGGACTAAACTGTGAAATTTTACCAAGAGATTTTATAAAATCCTTTCTGATCAACAACGAAAAAGAATCACGAAGTGTGTCTACTAGATTCCCGTTCACTACCTTAGGAGGGCTTTAGCCAGCAGAGTTTTCCATTTCATGGACTATTTTTTTACTCGTTCTTCCCGTATACATTTTGCTATTAACCATTTACTTGAATATTGTACATCCAGTAGTTTCAGTGAAACTAGCTATTCCGAAGGAACTCTAAAGAGAAGCTACTACTAGTTCTTAGGGATATATTGTAGAAACAAATGATATTATTAACGTGCTCTCGTCCCACGTTTTCGATAACTAGTTTGAAGAAATTTTTTAGCTGAAAGAAACTCCAAAGAGAAGCGTGTTGGATTGCCCAGTCCAAACTAGAAAATCTCGATAATCCAATACAAACGAAGGCCACATATGCACTATTTTCTACAATCGAAAACACGTGTCTACTCTACATACTATATTGTTCGCCATACAATAATAAATAACATATCACATGAAAAGCTGAAGGATGCTGTTCAGTCAAGTTCCAAAATTCCACCTGATCCTGGTCCTTACTGGAACAAGGAACTCTAGCTTTGACTCGACAATTGGGGATACCCACGTATAACCACCACGAAACGAAGAATTGTAATAGAACGTTACAAATACATGGTTCTCGTTCACAAAGTATATACAGTTAACAAGCAAGCTAAAAAAGAATCTAGTACTATTAATCGGGTATTACAAATAAGAGTATATCCCAATCGACAACAGTCTCAAATTCTTAACGATGGTTAGGATTGTCTAGGTTTCTTTATTAGCCTTATTGTCTGAAAATAATATCATCGTCTTATCTAATGCCATTGGCTTTAGCCACTTCAACATAGCTGGACCGTATTTACAAATCTGTGATGTAAACACGTTTTCATTTACGTATCCCAACAACTGAACTATACAATAACTTCAAAAATCAGCAGTCTGGGAGGAAAGGAAGTTTGCTCGTGCTGTCGTATGGCTTGGCATGTTATTGCGTGGAACGGTTGGTGTTGCGCCAGTGACTATCACCGATGAATCAATAGACGAAGCGTTAACCACAAAAGAAGAGGTATATATATATATATATATATTAAACGGAATGCCGAAAAACAAGGTGTAGTTCATCCTCTTTCGCTTCGATCATTAAAATCGTTGAGTCGAACTATGTCAGTCACTATCACTTTTAGCAAAAAATCTTGGACACTACTAGCAATAGCATTGTTTATGATTGATAATAAAGTCCATCCGAATCATCTAATACAAACAAAGACTACATATCTCTCTGTTTCGATTACCAAATGTCTGTCCTTAGTATATCTGTAATCCAAATAATATTTATCCACTTTCTAGCACGCATGTAAATTATCTGACACCCATATCATTGATACCTATTTATTACGTGGATGTTATCGGATTACTGTATCACTCGCCACTGTTTTTTCCTTCAGTAGAAATGCCTGGAGAATATTGCGAAGCAATGTCTATTCTCTCTATATTGCTTCCTTTTCTTTTCGGTACTAACAACTACTAAAATGTATTTGCAGTTGAAAAAATATGTACGTTTTGCTACAACTAAATGTATGTCCTCTGCATATCTTGTATTGCCTGTTGTTTATTGTGATCATTGTGTGGGCACCGGCAGTTTCAGTGAAACTAGCTAAAGCTACTAAATTGTCTTGTGATGGCCCGCCCTATATGATGAGGAAAACAAACGGGTTAGACAATGCTTCTTCAACGTCTATTGGAAAACATATTATCTGTCTGCTTTTTCTTAAAACTCCTTCACTCGACCATGATCCATGACAATACTATAGCGAAATACAGTCAAGTACTTCAGCTAAGACTAAGAGTTTCATTCTACTTACCATTTTGTGTACAAATTCCAACCTGAAGAATTCTCATGTTTGTCCTAATTCCTAGTTCGTCCACAAATGCAAACTCGTGAAGTGAGCCTCTTTCAATATTTCTATGCTTCATTACAAATATTCTTATGGAACAAAGCGTAATAACTGTAGTCCATTGTTACGTATATACTGAATAGTTTTTTCATAGGTGTCCAGTGCTGTACCACATAAGGTTCCAATATAGTCGTCTCATGCGTTGACATCTATTTAATATTCATCCCGTTAAATATTCCGTCGCCACAATATTACATCGCAAAAAATTCTGCTCATATCTTTTATTGCACAATGGCACCTCTTGTCAATCTCGCATCATACAATAGGGGAGACTAAGTCTTTCTTGTTTTGTAAAAATTGTTTCCGTGATGGAAAGACAATAACAAGGTGCTATAGACTTCGTGAAGTGCAACGAAATCTCGAATTTTTTGTTACAGAGTCCATCGAAGATAATAAATTAAGTTTGTAAGTTCAACCAGAGTTTTCATGTTAATGGATAGTTTGTAGTAAAATGTGCTAAAATTACAAATAGGACACTTGGGTAACACATTTGCACATTTGACACATTTGGTATCTTACATGTTTTCTCTTTCCATATGGGAAAATGTTAATACTTCTGGTTGGAGAAGTTGACAAAAATTTTTTACGAAACTCGCACTCTTCTTTAAAACGTTAGCACCACCTCTAATGATGACAGATAACACGGACCGTAATAACGTTAAGTCTTCCTCCGAAAAAAAAAGGACTGCTTGAAACTCTGGGAAAGGATATAAAATTATCAAGAAACGATTACATGCGATACCTCAAGAAAAAGAAAGTTTTAAACGTAGGTGTACGGAACTTGAAAAAAAGAATAGGGAACTTTCATATAGGAACGTGGAGTTGCAGAACGGCTAGATAATTTCGCAAAAGAAAAGGAATCACAAAACTCCGATGATTACCAAAAGCTCGATTTCCTCACACGAGAAGCGAAAGATATATTGGGTTATTGGGTATGATGAACTCCGGCGAAGGTGATCTTGGTGGCAACGAAAAATAAGTTGGTTCGAACTTAACTGGGGCTGGTGTTTCTAAAGAAATAATAATGGCCGATGAAAACTTTCCCAATGATGAAGAGGGCCAAGAATCAAACTCATATAGATGAATGCGTGATTGTTCCGATTAATCCTAAAAAAAATGCGGATAGCAAGTATAATCATCCCAAGTCCACCTCTGACACTTCTGGACAAAATACTCACGTTTATTGCGATCATTGCGACAACTATACTCAAGCCCATCTGTCAAATGTGTCTCTACGCGAAAAGGAGGAATAAGGATACGAAAATATTTCTTTGTTATTATAGATTACATATACTGTACATTTGTCTCGTGTGTTTTTTTTGTATTTACGTGATACGTTAAGCGTATCTCTTGAATATCATGTAATGAAATACGAAAAATAAAGAATTTCTATATAAGCGTATACCTTTTCAAGTGCACATATTAATAGAGGAGCATTTTCTTCTGATATGCTGTTTTACTTTTTAGGGCACGAATTTTTATGATTGAGAAGGTTTTTTCAATTTGTTACACAATGGCTTTAAGAAGCCGAAAAATATGTATATGGCATCCTACCACACGAACGCGAGAAAAAGGAAAGCGTCTGTGGCTTTCGATGATGAGTTTGACTATCTCTATGGGATTGTGACCATTGGTAAAATTTTCCGGCCCTTGTGTGAATTTTTTTTCCATCTAACTTATACCTATCCTAGCTTCGGACTGGTACTTCCTCATATATACATCAGAAAGGATTTATTGCTCGAAGGCTGACTGTCACATAGTACTTACCGAAAATATTATGGAAGATCCGAGGCGTTAAAATGGTTATAGAAGTGATCGTGGGTTTGTTAAAGAGGTTGATAACCTTCCTGATATTAAGAGAACTAGGACAAAAAAATATATTAAGAGCGTAGAGCAAAGAAGGTAATCTCGTCATATATCATGGAAACCTTCATCACGCTATTACATTAATAAAACGATCCATTTTTTCTGCAATCAATATTTCACATGTTTCATGTACTTTGTTTCTTGAGATTTAAAAATTTATTATAGCAAATAATAATATAAAATATTTTTCGTTATTTATTAACTATCTATTTTACCATAATGGAATTGGTGGGAAAGGACCTCCACGGACGAATCCGGTCATTACCATTAACGGGCTCGCTTGGATCGCGATTCGGATGTCAATAACATGCGGGTTACCGTTACCTAGGAAATTCCCGGCCGCCCAGCGTGCAACAACGTGCAACCAGTCGGATGGCGATATACGTTTGCTGTACCATTACGAAACCGTTACTTGTTAAGGCATCAGTAACTTGCCGATATGCTGTAGCGTGGGTACCGTAGGAACTTGTTAAGGCACTTGCGCCAAGATCATACATAATGATCCAATTTCCGAAACGTAAGAGTCCTTCATTGACGGTGGCCATGATTTAGAATTACTTAAATATTTGACATAAGGAATTGAAAACCAGGAAGTTATTTGATGAATGGGATAATGAAAATCAAAATTCGACGTAATCTTCAGATTTTCATGTACCAGTTTTTGAACATATAAATTTTGGACACGTAGATTAAAATTTATTTATAAATACATTCTTGTTTCTATAGATATTGTTACCCAAAAATTGAATCAAAGGTCCATTAACCGTTTTGTTTGCCGTTTTTCTTCCTAAAAAAAATTTAATATTTTGGTTAATTAATAATGACCTTGACTAATCAATACCTTCATATTTCTTTACTTTCCGCTGGGTTGTCCGCAGACTTAACGTCAAAGTAAATAACTCACTGAAGTCATCATACTTGGCTTTCTATACCTATCTAACAGAAAACGTGATTTATCGTATGAACCTTTCAGGCCAAGAATGTTTTCGAGAGATATAAGGTATGTTTCAATTTTTGTTTTAAAGTTTCTTCCTCACATTCATCTAAAAATTCCTTGATGTTTCATCGCGTAGAGCTTCAATTAAAATACTTATGTATCGGGTTTTTGTTTGACATCGAATATAAAGTCATGAAATATAGTACTAAGTAAACTTGTGCAGGTCGGGTTGTTAATGGTGTCAAGCGCGAAAGAAATGATTAATATGATAAGTATTCATCATGAGTATTTATCGAGTATTTATCATTAAAAAGTTCAATTTTTCGGTCGTACGGTTGACCGTATTTGACTAAGTGTGGGAAATGTAATGATTTATGTGCTAGGCTTACTTACCTAAAATTTATGGAATGAGAGAAAGGGACAATGTAATCAACACAGGATAAATTACTATTGTACTGCCAACTTAATATTCTTTGCGTTATAATTTTGATTGTTTACTATAAGGGCAGTGACATATATTAGCTAATATTATTTTAATAGTAACGTTTACTCCCCCACCCCCAGGTAAGATTTTATAACCAATCACAACCATTTCATATGGTTTATATTATGTGTAACCTAAGATTTTCTTTTACTCCCCCACCCCCTAAAATATTAGCTAATATATGTCATTGCCCTAACTAGTATTATAGATTATTTTCGCAGTCATAGAACAAAATTTCTGTAAAAAGAGAATAACCTGTATTTTATATATATTTTTCATATAATCAATAAAGCAATGCAATGGGGCAAATTTACCAGACATTTTATAATTTTTTTTGCATGTATTATTTTTTCTTTATTGTAATACGTCACATGTATTACGGGAACTAATTTATTCTCGCACATTCTTATTAAAAAAAGCCCTTTACATATGGATAGCGTTAAATTCTTTTATTGTTAAATTAAGGAGAGGTGGTTGATCAGATTTTCGTGATGAGATCATTTCCCCTGCAAATATAAGCAATAATCAAGATGAAAATTCTAATAAAATTCAAACCTACTATTATTTTGATCATTGATATATATTTACAATCTGTATATTCCGTAAAAGTAATAATAAGGTTAGTTCGGATTAGCATGTCATCACGATGTTAATCGATTTTCTCATCTCTTTAGATGTCCCAAAATAAAATGGACATATTACTCCCCTTGTTATATATCGGCATTCCTTCTCTCTTTGATATCATCATATGTTTCTCTCAACTCACTTCTGAATTTAAAAAAAACCAATGAAAGTTGATTTTCACGAGGAATTACGATGATTATTATTACGTGTGAGAGACAAATTTTAATAACTTTTTATTGATGTCCATATGGAATTAATTATATAATAATTATAAAAATGATTTTCACATACCGATAAGTATAGTAAGTTATGATACTAACTAAAATCGGTTATAAATTACCTTAATTAAATAGAAACATAAAAAGTTCGGGCACGTGATCTGTGGTGTGCCTATTTCTTTATACATTTTCTTTTACACATATACAGAGGGCGATCAGAATTATCCGGCCACTTTTCAAGTTGGAAAAACTTATATATATATAATATAGCAATAATAAAATTTAAAGTTAAACAAATTCATTATGTCTTTGTTTACTAATTTAGATAAAAATTTAATAATAAATTCTATCTCCATTTGCAAAAATAACTTCCCAATTCAATTAGTTATGGCATTGATAAATTTTTTATAATATTCTGGAGTAATACCTTTTAATGCATCTTTAACATAGTACTTTTCAAGTAGTTTTTTCAGAAAATTTAATAAGGTATGCAAGCATAATGTTGAAAAAGTATTATACCATAATATTGCATATTAATTACAGGTATTATTCAAGTGTAATACTATGTAAATTATGAAATTTTTCTAGTTTGCGAAATTTGTGAATTTTAAAATTTAAAATTGTATGTTAAGGATATTTCGAGATCTAGTGATTGAAATATTGTAATTTTGGGTTTATCAGATTCGTCTCACTGGGAGGATTTGAATGGTAATAATTTAATATTTTTAGGATCGATATTCATCACATGATTACGCTCTAAAAGCCTAAATGTCACCTACATTATTTTCTGATCCTGTGATTGAAATTTTACGATTTATAGCTCTTTTGATCCATCTCATTGAGACGATTCGAATGGTGGTAAGCACAGGTCTATCAGACCAATATTGGCGGAATTATGATATTTTTAAGATTTTTAAGTTTGTTTACACAAAATTGTAAAATTTATAAAATTTATACAATAGGTGATATCATATTTTTGAAAATTATGAAGCATGGGAATTTGTTTATTGTGATTATAAATACAAAATTATATTTATTTATATTACATTAACACATCATGATCTACAAAATTTTAGCAAAATAAACTGGCCGGATAATTTTGATCGTCCTCTGTATTATAAACAATAAATATTAGTATTTACGTTCCTTTGAAATTTTCAAAGTTTGTTTTAGCAATTACCGTATTTTGCAGGCCACAGTACCCCCTATGCACAGTACCCTACAAAAAAGAACTCCTATTTTCTACCGATTTTATTATTTAAAATAATTTAATAAATACCTAGGTATTACTTATCAATCATCGGTCATGTCACAGGAACTGCCGATCATTAATATGAAATTGGTGTAATGTTAAATCACGTGAAATTCCGTTCTAATACAAAACTTTTTTTTCAAGTTAACGAACTTCACATTTTAATTACTTTTATTTACTAAAGGTTTAATCTACATATTCCAATAATTTTCTTTGCAAAAA